AAGAACTAAATGGAGGTGAAGCCGCAAAGGAGGAGAAAGAACTAAATGGAGGTGAAGCCGCAACGGAGGAGAAAGAACTAAATGGAGGTGAAGCCACTACGGAAGTGAATCAACCAAAGAATGAATCCCCTAAAGCGCAGGCCCCACCGATATGCGTAGCACCCCCCGCGCAGAGACAATCGAACAAAACCACTCCACAGGAGCAGACCCAGGGAATAACCAGCCCAACAAACATGACACAGATAAAGGGAGCAGAACTGAAAAGTAGTAACACGCAGTACAATGACATAAACATGTGCGAATTGGATTTAAACCCATACGATATATTCGTGTGCAATTCGCACTACCAATTTAAGAGCATCCTAGAAGTATTCATGTTACACGTTCCGATATATTTCCTATTCAAAAATAAACTCTACGTAAAAACGTGCTTCACAATAGCCATGTATATTGCCAATTACCTACTCTGGAATTTCATAACCCTCTTAGCGATGATCAGACCGTCACTGTTCGTGTACTACTACGTAGTGAATGAACACATAAATCATATCCTAACAGAGAACATCAATGAGAAAGAGAAAAACATAATTCTCCACTTTTTTTACGGGTTCTTTTTTGCCTCTCTAATATATTTAAAATATCATTTCAACATGCAGTTTAAGTTAATCAAGGTGGACCACATGAACCACTTCCATCGAATTATTAACAAATGCATAACAGAGGCGCACAAATTGAAGTCGAGAGGAATAATTAAAAATTTTGAAGCTATGAAAGTTTTCCCCTTATGTATTGACTATGAAAACAAAGGGATTTTCATCGACAGAGGACTACTGCGAACACGTGCGGAACTCGAACTTGTACTAAAACGAAGGAAATTAAAGAGTGCAAGAATATGCTTCCGAAATGTTATGCAAGTTGCTAAATATTGTGACGAAGATACCGCTATGGAACTGTTTAGACGACTGAAATTTGTCCTAGTCAATGAATTGCCCCACCGAGTTGCACTAAACCTTTCCCTTATGATCTCGGATGAAATGTACGATAAAATTAAAAGGAATGCCATCGATTCGTCTTCTTCGGAACAATCCAAGAAACACCCATCTGATTGCTTATGCGAAATGCTGAAAAAAACGGTCGTTCATGATTTTATCAAAGCGGCCATGGGTATTGACAAGTTCAATGCAGAAAACGAACCCGCGGACTCGGGGGAACCTTACGTAGATACATCCGACAACAAGTGAAATGCAAAAAATGAAAAATAAAACGAGCAAGTAGTACACCCCGTGAAAAAAAAAGGGGTGCCAATCTTGGAGGGTAGTCCAAATGTTCGAGATGGGAAGCACCATCAGGAGGAGAAAAAAAAAAAAAAAAAAAAAAAGTATACATGGACCCCAAATTAGGCCTATATGCCATTTTTGAAAAAACGCTGATGAAGCAAAGATCGGATGATCCTTACTGAAGAACACAAAAAAAAACAAATTACGAAAAAAAAAAAAGGGGTTTACGCATATCTTTCCCAGTCCCCGTGAATAAATACACGGCCTCAGCGTTATCCGCTGCGTGGAGCATAAGTATGTTATGCTTCCCTTTTGACAAACATGCGCGCCCGCACAGCGTACCAACGCTGATTCGGGTCGGACCCAGCTGGCGGAACTACTCGCCGCCGTTTTGCCGACAATCCCCCAAACCGCGCGTAAATACGCCTATTTACGTAAATTTTTTTTTTTGAACATTGTCAATTTTTTTTTATTTGTAAAATATCCGTTACGGATTCTGTTTATGTTAATAATTTTCTTCTTTTTTTTTTTTCCGATTTAATAACTTGTTTTCCCCCACCATTTTAAATAACCCCAAAATGTTTTGAGTACATAGGGCGAAGGGCGGCCGCTGCCCGTCGGGAAGATGTCTGCTACCCCAATAGTGCAAATGTTCCAGCGGGTAACGTTTCCAATGCGTAAGTTTTCAACCTCTACCAATGTAACTACCTCCAGTACAACAACCTCCAGCATAACTACCTCCACCATAACAACCTCCAGCACAACTGCGCTCAAAAGGGGTGCCGGTTCCACTTGGTCTTGTCTGGCTTCCGGTTCAAAAACTTGAAGGGGTTCTTCTCCGGGACGTAGCGATATTTATAATTCTCGTACAGCTCCGAGTGTGTGTAGTACACTGGAAGCAGTTCGTCCTTGTCCTCCGTCACAGCCGTCTGCTTCTTCAGCCAGTTGTCAAAAATGTGGACGCCTTCATCCCAGTCGTATTTGAATTCATGGTTCTCCTTCCCGACCTGCGTCTTCTTATTCTTATACTTGTTACTAATTGAGTAGAACTTTTTAAAGTCTTCCTCGAAATCATACGTGTCGTCAAAAATACCCACCCCAATATAGATATTCCCTGCAGGCCCTAAAATTACGTAATCATTATTGTTTTCAATTTTCCTTAAATTTTCCTTGGTCTTTAACAAGCATTTGCACAAATTTAGGGAGGACGCAACATAGTCAGCTGATTCTTTGTAAAAGGGTTGCGTGTGCAGATAATTATATTCGCTAAATGCAAAGAGGAAGATTTTAACCGGCAGGTACGAACCAGGCCTCATCATCAATTTCAAAGCGCAGAAGCCATCAATCGAATTGTTCATTCCGTCGGGATAAAACCATAACTGAAGAGAGTCAAATCCACCCAGGTTAAAAATATCTGACTTGATGGGCTGTCCTAACCTCTTTGGGTATTGTTTGCATAACATGGGGATGAAATTTATTGGCCAAATGAAATTCATACCTACTGATACATTTGCTGGATACGTTTCTGCGGATCCAATAAATTGCACATCAAAATAATTGTTCTGAACTTTCTCTAGGCTTCCAAAACCTGTGTTGTTATTGGTCCTTTGGTAATAATTATTGGAATAGTAATTTTCTTCTAATTTTTCCTGGTTAGTTGAGTCAAGCAGATCTTTCACTGTATCATCGTAGTACTTCCAATTTCCTCTCTTAATATCGTTTTCTACTTTCGAATTCCACCTCCTTTTTTGTTTAATTCCACTGTCTTTCATCTTCTGCTCTTCTCTTTTTCTTCCAGTTCGTAAAAACACATTGGATGGGTTTATATATGCTGGCGACTCTGAGTCGTACTCGCTTTTCTCGTCCAGCTCTTTTATATCTTCTCCATGATTTAGGTACATGTATCCTGGGTAGTCCCTATCGTATAGTATCTCTCCTAATTGGGAATCCATATGATGGTGCCTTCCCACTTTTTTGTACCTTTCTATTTTCTCCTCCTTCGTGAGTTTTTTTCCATTGTTCTCTCCCACGCCGCTGCTTTTAGGGGGTCTCTTTTCCCCATGGCCGATGATGGACAGCACGTCTCTTTCGAAATCGGGCATGTCCTCCCGTTTGTCCTCCCCAGCACAGACGGTGTCACGCCGATCCGCGACCGGCCTGCATAGCGCTTCATTTTTCGTCCCCTTGCGGAGATTTCCATCTGAGCCACCGCACACGTCGTTCTTCCGCCGGTTCGACTCCACAAACTCGTCGTACTCCGAATTATCGAACGGAGTGGCAATCTGGGGCGAAATCTTCACCTTCCTGTTGTCGGCGAATCCCTGGAAATCCTTCCCATCAATCATGAGAAGCGGTAGCCCTTCATACACAGAAATGTCCTTGGGGTCAACTCCATCAAAACACTCCTCTGGTGCACCACTCTCACGTTCCGATTTCTCCAACGCTTCCTCCTTGTTATAGTCGGATAACTTTTTGTACAAATCTGGACTGATTTCCTGTAAGTTTTCTACTTCTTCTAGATCAAGAGTGTCATCCTCAGATTTGCCCGTCCCTTTTTTCTTCCCCTCCTCTGGAAACAAGTTCTTAAATTGTTTGGGGTTAAAAAACATACTCTCAGCGTACAGTTTTTTCTCATGTCGTTTTCTTTTTTTTTCAAAGTATCTTTTGTGTCCTTTTAGCGAATGCGTCCGCAGGCCTTCCTCCTGCGCCGGGCTCCCATTTCTTTCTACCTGTCTTGGTAAAAACCCGTTTTTTATGAAACCACATGGATAAACATACGCATATGCATAGGTGTACATGTGCGCACTTTTAAGATGACTCGATGGGCGTCTGCTCCTTCCCCGGTGGGTATCATGCGCCGGATAAATGCTTTGGCCACTTTTGCTGCTCGTCAAGACGCACAAGCCGTTTTTTAAAAGCGCGTAAGCTATCGCAGCGACGTTCAGCAGGGCGCGAATGGGAGGCATTATTTCAGGTTGCGGAAATGCGTTTGGGGTTGCTTGGCGCGGTTGGCGTCCGTCATCTTGAGTATGGAAGTTGCAGAAGCGCAAAAGAGGCGCGCATTGAAGTGGTACAGAAGTTGATGCGGTACAGGAGTTACCAAGATGCAGATGTTACCAAGGTGCAAACATTGCCAAGGTGCAAACATTGCCAAGGTGCAAACGTTGAAAAGATACAAACGTTGAAAAGATACAAACGTTGAAAAGATACAAACGTTGAAAAGATACAAACGTTGAAAAGATACAAACGTTGAAATGGGTACAAATGGTACAAAGCGGTAATGTTTATTCCTCTCAGGTTTGTTCACCCGTTTGATATATTTTTTTTTTTTTTCATTTTTTGCGATTAGGCAAAATTCTTAACGCGCCACGGACGCGTACACATCACGCGAGCGTGGATTAACGCTCGCCGGAACTCTACTAATTTCGACTCCTTCCTCGCACCTCGCTGAGATGGCGGCGCGGAGAGCAGTCCCAAAAATGCAAACGCTGAAGGTAAAGTGAACCTCCTCTTCTCCTCAAACAAGAAAGATATAACACCTGCCAAATTAGCGTTAAAATGGCAAATTTGGTAACAAAAAAATTAAATGAAAAAAAAAAGAGCAGATCGGGGCATGCCCTGACATGCTGCTACACAGCGTGACATATGGAAATGAAAAGCAGCAGTGGGGGGGTGGCGTGGGGCAACTTGGCTAGTTCACTTTTTCTTCTTCGAAATTTCCATCTCCTTGTTTCGCTCGTTTAAGTCCTTTATGATGCTGTATACTTTGCTCGGTCTGCAGGAAAAGTCGTGCATTCCCATGTGTCTAGGATAAGTACTCACAAGTAGAAACTACTGGGTAAGGGGAGGCCGAACGGGACACCAAAAAGTGCACCACGTGAAGGTTCGAAATTGTACAAGAGGGGGATGGTAATGTCTGGCTGGTGAGACATGCAGATGGGGGGGATGCTTACACCCGTTCAAGGGAAAATATATACATATACACATAGTCAGATTGACAATATGCACATTTACACATATATTGGCACATTAGCGCGCGCTTTGGGGGAAACTCACCTGCCATATACGAGCCGATACTTCAAAAGCTCCACAGCGCCCTCGCTGAGGGTGTTGTCCTTAAGCACATACTTCCCAAAGGTGAAGCACACGAGGGTCTTGTCTATCTTCCGCGCCTTGGAGAAATAGGCTGCCATGTTGGCGGCGTACTTTATGTCGTCGTCTATTTTAATATCCGCCAAATTTAACTCGGCCGTGATTATTTGACCATTAATTTTTTTATTTCGAAGGATGACATGGCCCCCTGGGTGTTCATGCACATGAAACCACAGATCATTGAACTTCAGAATTTGAGTCGAAATTTTCTCATTCTGTTTGCTATTTCGTCCTATTATCAAAAATGGGGAGGACAAATCTGTTTCATTAATTTTAATTAACAGAGAACCTTTATAAATATTTTGCGAACTTTTAATTGCATTTGGTTCAACATTTAAAATTTTTTTTTTTAATATTTCTTCCTTCTCTTTATCTTCTTCCATTTTTTTTATATATTTTTTTCTGTTATCTTCGAGAGAATTGTATTTTAATTCCTTTTCAATTAGCTTCAATGCGTCAAATGTTTTCTTGTCAATCCAGTCCGTCATCTTCGATATGGTGTGGTTAAACACGCTCAACTTGTTTATACTGTCATGAAGCAAGTACGCTCGTTCGCACACCTCCCGGTCGTTTCTATACTGCTTGATCATTTCTTCATACTGCGAGAGTTTTTTTCTGATAAATTCTTTGCAGAACTTTAAAACTGTGTAAAATTTATTCACAGAGAGGCCCCTTCCGTGGTAGTAATAAACCAGCTCGATGACCGTTTCGAAATGTGTTTCTTTGTCTCGCGGGGTGCTCTTGTTTACGCCGTCCCGATTGGTGTTCCCCAGTTTGCCATTTTGGTCTCCTTCCACCGCGTCGCCGATTCGACTGCCTGCTTCGGCACTTCCCACCTTTGCGTTATTCATAATTATTGGAGCGTCGCATACATCTTGGGGAGTAGCATCTGTCCCCTTATCCTTCATCAAAAACTTTACAGCCGAATACACATTCAAACTGTAGTCAAAATGGGGGGCAAAGAAAAGCGCTTCGTCTTTTTCCTTTAAGTTTAAAAAGCGGACCCACTTAATGTATGCCTTATTGAAAAAATCCAGCAGCATACCGGAATCAATTTCTTCAAATTTGGCATTGCTGGGAATGTTCAGATAATCCAGAAATTTTAGCACAGTGTTGTGACTGAGCCCTTCGTACAAATCCAACAGAGACGAAATAAAAATCTGCTTCTTCCTTGCTTTGAACAAACTTGAAAAGGAGGAAAAAAAATCATATTCATTTGGAATCATTTTACATTCATGATTTGTGGGGAAGCTATACGTGTGTCCTTCTTTGTATGACTTGTCTATCACCTTCTCTGTTACATAATTATGCGGAGAAATTAAAATTTCATCATTTACCTTATTTATAAGAAACGAGATGCTGGAATTATTGTGGAGGTCAAAAAGGAGAGTCACTTTTCTTCCACTGTTGCTGAGATCAGCTTTTCCTCCATTACCCAAGATGTCTTCGATGTCGATGTCTTCATCCGTTTTCCTCTTTAAGATAAAATCAATACATAATATTCTTACGAAACTTTTTTTTATATATATATCCGAAATGAGTGAATATTTCAGGACGGGATTTAATTTCTGTGCATAATCATCGTCAATAAATCGGTTAAAAAGCTTTTTTATTTTCAATCCTAAAGAAATTACTGGATTGTCATTATCGTAGCAAATGTACAAATAATACTCCTTTTCTCCCTTTTTATTCAAATGCAACACGATCGTTTTATGATCTGCCTGTGTTATGTGCTCCACCACACAGTCTTGTAAAAGGGCGTTCAATTCGATTGCTAATAAATGCAGCGTCGTATAATCCATTCGTTGTTCTTGTGCCCCATCTTTTTGGGCCAGTACATTCTTTATCCTCTTATTAAAACAGTTTTTCGAGTTCTTTATTTCATTTGCCTTCTTTTCCAGCACCTTAAGATATGCTTCGTCTGTTTGGTCATATTTTGTATATCTAAAGATGCTGGTGTCCTTGTGGTCATTTTGTTCACGTTCGCTATTTTTCAGTTCACTTTCGCGGGCCCTTTTCCTATTAAAAAAAAACGCCCTCTTCATTCCATATTTCGTCTTATTGTCCGCTATGAAATTAAATTTCCCCCTGCCATGTTGTAAGAGACGTCTGCTCAGAATTACGAGCCACGCATTCATCACACATGATACGAATAGGGTGGAGAAAAGAAGCACTTTGCCTATTCGCAGCAGAAACATGAAATCGGACTAGGGGGGAGAACTGGGCTTTCGCGATGGCCGCCTAGCCGTTTCGCAGTTTTGCCGCTTATCACTTTTGCCTATTTGGCTTAACTTCCTACACCGCGTCCAAAATTGCAAAGTGCAACTACAGCCCGGATGAGCGGTTGCACGGGCGAGTCGGACGGAAGAAAGGCGCGGAGTGCAGGAGAACAAACCAGATAGGAGCTAGCAGGCCTTCAAGGCGTGCGTGTAAAATTGTTTGAACTCATGAAGGGCGTGCTGCGGCGAAGGGGCGCATTCATATAGTGGCCTCTCTACCCCTCCGTGGCTTCCGCGCCCAGTTGGCTATGGTGGGCCAGAAAAAGTGCGAAAGGGTAAGAAAGATACGCTGCAGATTAACTGCGCCGAAAAGGTAACCACGATTTTGCTCCGCAGAGAAGGCAGCTATACAATGTCACTGCGCAGGAGCGGCAACTACAAATTCGCTGCAGGGAAAACGCTGGCGAGATGGCCCTAAAATGGCGCAAAGGTTCCTAAGGCTCCCCAGTGGGACAGCGTTTTCCCCCGCATGGGCTTCTTTTTTAACCAATTCATGTGGAGGAACAAACACTAGTATTGAAGGAACATTTGTCGATCAGTTCGTTTCCGTTTGCTCCGGCTATGTGCCGATATGGACCTGAGGTTGAACGGTAAAATGAAAAGGCGATCAGGTTAAGTGAGCCGCAGGGTAGGCCCACGGGTCCGTGCGCAAATGGACGGTGGGTGAAACGCCAAGTGGTCGTCTCAGTCAGGTAGCCAAACACACTTCATGCAGGGGTAATTCCCTGAGCGCAACGTCCTCTTTCGCGCCCTTCCCCATCCTTACTTCCTTCTTTTTAAAGGGGGGAAAAAAAAAAAAAAAATCTGGATAGGCATAGCGATGAAAATAGCGGCTAGCGTAGCGATAATCGCAGGGGAGCGAAAAACGCACGGCAAGCGTGCCCTTAGAGGAGAATCCTATACTTCTCTTCGGTGGGCACACTATTCACCACACATTTGCCATCGTACGAGAGAGACGCAAACACCCACGCGTCCGTTTTGCTCCACCTGCCCTGATAAACAGACTCCTCGTGATCCGAGTAGGTTTTTATTAACTGATAGTTGGTTTCCTTCTTCTTCAAATTTAAGTTAGCCGGATAGTCAATTCTGTGCAGCTTCACCGTATTGTCTGAGCTAGTGCTTAGCAACAACTCATCATGAAAATTGTTAAAGTGGATGGAGGTAACCCAATGCGAATGAATATTAACTGTAAGAAATGCATCAGTCAGAAATCGCAAGTCCCAAAATTTTACGTAGCCATCATTTGATGAAGTTACAATGACATTTGGAATGTTGGGATTGAAGTCGAGGGATGATAAATCAGACTTATGGTTTGCAAAGGTGGAAAATATTTCCACGTCATTTTTGATGTCGTATCCGTACACACTCGTATCACTAATAACGGTTAATATGTTTTCGTGATGCGGGTCGAAGAAGCCGTAATTCAACTGCCGATCCATGTTTTTGGAGGAAACAAAATCCATGTCGTTTTGGCTCCTCCCGAATATGTCGTAACGGTACTTATCTATAACTGCAATTCTACGAAACTCACCCTCATGATCATCCACCGCGATGTGTTTGATGCCAGCATATGGCTGGTCGCCTCTCAGTTCGCACAGTTTGTCCAGCGCTGCTTTTCTTTTCCCCCCGTCCAGCGACTTCTGTTTTGCCCCTTTGTCGTTCGTCAATTCATTCACCATAGTCTTTACCGGTCTGTTTTCCTCCCCATCCTTACTTCCTTCTTCCCCCTCTAGATCGTCCAAATTTCCACTCCCTTGGTTCCCCTCTCCCTCCTGTGCCACGGTCGTGTCTGTCTCCCCTCCTGCAACGACCTCTTCCTCATCGAAGTTGTCAAGTCTGCCCCTATGAAGAAAACATCTACATTCCAATCCCCTCGCGTCAACACGAACCTGGCTAGTACTCCCAACATCCGCAGAAACAACCGAAGACGTACACATAAGAATCTCTTTTCCCTTTCCATCCCCCTTTTCACACATATCTAAGCAAACCAAGTGCTTGACCTCCTCCTTATGGTCAAAGATCTCGACATTCCGGACAGTACAGGATTGATCATTATACTCAATCAAATGAATTTCATTGTCGGCAAAGGGGTTACTTGTACCTAACAAAAAGTAGTGCAAATGGTATTTCTTCTCGGGTAGTTGGCTATTCAGACTGCTCAAGCATTTGGACTTAAAAGGTAAGTAGTAACTATTCTTGAGAATTCTCCCAGAATACATCATTAGGGTGGGGTTATTCTGCGGCGGCTTCTTCGTGGTGTGTGATCTCTTGTTCAGTCCGCTTCTCCCGGTTACACACACACACATATGTTTATGTTCCCTGTTACGGAATCCAGCCAAGGTAGAACAGTATTTGCTAAATGACCAGATAAGATAGGTAACCCTCTCCAAAAAAAAAAAAAAAAAAAAAAAAAAATTACAATAGTATTGTTACCTATACTCCGTGTAATATGGTGAAAAGAAGCAGCGAGTCCACACAGTTGTGCTTTGACATTCACGCGCATGTACATGTACATTTGTACGTATTCCTGAGCACGTTCTCGCCGGTAGGTCGCTACGCCTATCCGGTGAGCGAAAGGCGCTAAGCAGAATCTGCTTGGCTTATCATCCCCCCCCTACACAGATCGAAACGCGTCGCTCTTCCTGACGATTTGTAAATAACTCCCCTTTGGGAAATTTAAGATCTACCTTTCCGTTATACCATCTTAGGAAATAGAAAAAAGAAAAAAAAAAATTGTAAAAATTTTACATGTGGGGTAGGTTACTCCATGTGAAGAATTGTGCGCACAGAATTGTTGCGATTTTTTTCTTTTTTTCTTTCCCCATTTTGCTTTTCCTCCCTGAGCACCATTCGCAGAAGCCTGCTGCGCGCCCCGTCGGGCCTACCCACCACGCTTAGCATAGGGAGTGCTTAGTTTATTTTGAACAAACCGAATTGGAAAAGGCGCAATTGCAGAGGTGCAAACGCGCGGGGGGACGCTACCGCATTGTGTAGTTGGCGTACCAAAATGGATACACATATATTTAGGTCAAGAAAAATGAAAAAAGAAAAAAAAATAAATAACGCACATATATATATGGTGAAATTTCCTAAGGGTGTATACAAATGAGTATGTAGAATGCGGCACACAAACAGATTGTAACGCCGAGCTGGTCCATCGGGGACGCCTCAAGGAGACGGGTTGTAAAGATCGTTCCATTTTTTCTGCAATGTTGGGAGATCATCAAGGGGTTGATATTTCTTGGATAGCATATTTTGAATTTGTTTTTTCCTTCCTCTTCGCCCCTTTCTCGTTTTTGCGCTGCCATCTTTGTTATCATCGCTGTGTTCCTGCTGCTCACTTACGTAGGCCTTTATAAATTCGGATTCCACCTGCTCAGCGGATTTTATGAAATTTTCCTTTTCGTAATTTATTTTTGGTGGCTTGTTGGACGTCATTAATTGGAGCAGACTTTTCGTGGTTTTCTCCATCCTCTTTTTATCGTCGTTTGTATTAGCATCCTCTGTTGTAACGTTCTGTTTGCTCAGGATGGTGCGCAGACGCTCATTTAGCTTCTCGTTAATTAGTGGGATTTTCCCCTTGGTGGACGTGCCACTTTCCATATCGGGTAGGAACATTTTTTTGTATATTTTGAGCGCATCTTCTTCTTTTTTCTTCATGTGTTGAATATGATCTGGCTCTTGGCCGAAGGGATCATCCGGATTGCACAATGGTTTCTCTGCATCATTAAATGTTGCTTTGTTAGTGGTTAGTTGGCTTGGGGAGACACCTGAGTGTGGTTCTACACCATTGGGCGTTTGCCCTGAGTGGTCCGCCACATCCGCCGGGTTCTCATTTATAATATCATTCTGATTAAAAATGGAGAAGAAGCTGTCTTCGTCGTCCTCTTCCTCCTCCGCTTCTTCCCCTTCATTGGAAGTTAAACCACCTTGGTGATAACTTCCGGTGAGTTCTTTTCCCTTTCTATGCTCTTTCTCCCTCTGGAATTTCCCAATTTTCTCTCTTAATAGGTGGATGAAATTTTCTAACTCCTTTTTCGTGTTGGACGTTGCGATAAAGGAGGAGGGGGATTCCAGCCGCTCCACGTCCTTCACCCCTTCTACCTCATCCGTGATGCACTTAACCGCGTGTTGGTAGTGGCCAGCGATGAGCATGCACTCTTCGTAGGTAAAATTATCCACATAGAGATTTAAATACTTATTAATGAGGGAAAACATTTTGACGTGAAAAATTTGTAAATTTGCGTAGGCAGACAAAATGAGGGACAAGCCTTGTTTGCTAAATAAATTCATGTTTTGAAAAATCTGGATAGACAAAAAGTAAAACAACATTTGCGATTTTATTTTCAGCTTGGAGAAACTGTAGCAAATTAGGCTTAAACTTTGGGGAGATAAACAAATTTTCTCCTTAATGATGTAGGAAGACAGCTGAACGAAGAAGTTCGCATCTCGGATCCTTAACTTGGCGTAGGCATACGCAATGGTAGACAAGGCTTGTTCGTTTAACTCGTTATTTTTCTTTTCCAAACTTTTGCAAACCATCTTGGCGTATGTATCGAGGAATAATTTATCGTTCTGTTTAAACACAGCACATGAATAAATCAGTTGGGCGAAATGTTGGCTGTCCAAAGATGCATAATTATGTTCATTGGTAAAGTAGGAAAGGATAAAATGAAATAAATCCTTGGTATAAAATTTCACCTTTGCAAATGCATGTGCAATCGTGCATAGTAAAAAGGAGTTACTTTCATTTACAGATTTCATTTCGAAAATATGACAACTTAAAATTTCGCTCAAGAAATGATACACTTTCTCATTTTTGAATTTCTTTTTACAAAATGCATTTGTTATGAGCGTAATTTCGAGCAAATTAAAATCTTTCCGTAGATTTTTCACACCTTGGATAAATTTCCCCCATAACGTTTTCTTATTTTCATTATGATAATTTAGTTTTGAAAAAGAATTTATAATGTTCGTCAGAGATTTTGCATCAAATTCGTCGATTCGCTCAATTGTCTCGTCGACCAGATCGTCAATAATGATCCTGTCTTTTATCTTTAGCTTGTAAAAAGCATTAACAACACTGGCAATGTGAACATGTTGGAAGTAAGTAATTTTGTGAGGAATCTCTTCACATATCCTGCTGAACAAATTATTATCAATAAAATTAAAATGTGCATACGCATTTAGTATTAGCGAAATGTCTTGGGGCACTCCTTTGTGTAACTTGCGGGGGATATGCTTCGCGAACGTTTCCAACAATTTTTCATTCTTATGATTAAACTTCCTCATCGTATTTAATATTAGCGAAATTTCTTTTGTGCTCATACTGTTAACTATTACGATAGCTCTTTGTGCATACCTATCGAGCAACTCATCATCATTTATATCAAAATAGAACAGTCGATTACACAACATGGCTAGTTTTTTGGCTTTACACGACTCGGGGACGTATAGCTCTCCCTTGGTTAAATTATCGAAATGCATTTTTTCTTCGTATTTGTCTGGATTTCTTATTTTTTTTTCTATGTCCAGTGGCTTTTTCCTCGGCTGCTCCTTCAGACCTCTTCTTTTATTTTTCATATATCTCGTGTGCATGTCGAAGATTGCTCCCTTCCGCCTTGGCTCTGCGGCCCTCTTCACAATGGAGTTGCGCAGCCACTGAAGGAACATTGTTCACCGTCTGTGGATAGTTTATCACCAGTTGGTATGCAGACGGGCAACGACCATTGCTCGCGCCTTTGCTTGAGTGAGACTTTTCCCCGAGAGCGCATCCATCTGCCGCTCCCCGTGCGATACACCTCCCCAAACGCTGAACATCGCACTTGTTTTCCAAATGAGTAACTTTTCCATTTGGTACCTGTGCTCCACAAAAGAAGAAGGAGCAACGTTTCATTGGTTCTTTCTCTATAAATCGATCATAAATGCAACCCATGCGCTGAAGGAAACCATGCTGTTATTCTACACGCGCGGTCGGGATGGCATTCTCAACAGGCACTTTTTTTGTGCGTCGCCATATATGCAGTACGTTGTTTGCAAAAAAGTAGGGAAGCGTGTTTATATTTTTTTTTTTTCTCCACAGCATGTTCACCTTGATGAGCATTTCCCATTTTAGTTGAATTTTAACCGCCGCCCCTTCCCCCACATTCTTTCCCTTCCGAAGGTGTCAAAATGGAAAGCATTTAAAAAGGGGAAAAAGAGGGTTGAAATTATCTTTAATACTGACCAGACTGTAACAAAAGAGACTTTACTTTTTTTTTCTACCCAGTTGGTATGGAAACATCTATTTGGCAAAATTGGGCGATTGCCCAATTTTTCCATTTCAGCATCACTTACACCGCGAATTCTCCCTTACACATATATTTGCATCTGTACATATGGTAATCGCCCCATCTAATCATTCGCACAGCACTATTCCAGGTTAGTGTTCATTTCTCGAGCTTTCCGCTCCTTTGTTAGTGCTGCCTACTAAGGGAGGTCGCCTGAAGAAGCTGCCAGAACCACCTTAAATACACTCTTTATTGTCCAAGATGTAGCGCTATTGCACGTTCCTTTAGGCAGCTAATCTGCATTAATGGATCCATTGGTGTCGCCTTAGATGGACACGTATCCTGTTTCACATGACTCATATGATGAGTCGCACGTCCATCTGCAGGTAAGTATTCGATCTTACAACATGTACCATGTGAAAAAATAAAGACGCCCATGGCAGATTCTTCACTTGTACCTAAAGGTATAACCACCGGGGGATGAAAAATTAGCACATCATTTCAGCAGAGTAATTCCTGTAAAAGGCACAGCTTCGAATGAACCCCTTAGCGTCGCCTATGTCAACCTCTCACAACTTTGTCGCATTGGAAATGTACAATTTTGCCCCACAAAAAGGGTTACCTATATACGGGCACAGTTCTTCGTCCCTATGGGGGTTCGCATGAGTCTGCATGGAAGCATGTTAACTGATGATGGCTTTCAGAGGGGCGCTGCGATGACGTCACTCATGTGGCCATATAAGGAGCTTCCTCAGGGGTAGAGATATGTGCATGCGAGCTCTATCGGGATCGCCCCTAACCGGCATATATATTTTTTTTTTTTCTTGCCAATACGATTAATTACAACAACACTGTGACTAGCATCTTCAGGGGCATGCTCAATCTTTACATGTTCCAGGAGAATGCACAAAACGAATATGCCTATTTTTATATGTGTATGGCGAAAGGAAGCAATGGTGGGGTTTCCTTTCTCCCTCCATGAGAATGCCCCTCCAAGTGGGATGAAAAGACAAATGTGCGCATCGCTCCATAACTAGTTCTTCATTCGTTAGGAAGGGCATAAACAACGGTTCCCTGCATGTATGGGGGTGGTTGTATGCATTCGTGTTCATAACCCCCAATGAATTGAATCACCTTATGGAGCATTCGATTTTTGTCTTCCCCCTTTTTGCCCACACAACCTTTGTTGTTGCTTGTTTTTGCCAATCGTTTTGCAAAATTAAAAAAAAGGGAAAAGGAAAAGGGGTACATTGGGAGAGCATATGGGTAGAACAAAGTGGGATAACAAAATGGTAGAACAAAGTGGGATAACAAAATGGTAGAACAAAGTGGGATAACAAAATGGTAGAACAAAGTGGGATAACAAAATGGCAGAACAAAATGGTAGAACAAAATGGCAGAACAAAATGGTAGAACAAAATGGCAGAACAAAATGGTAGAACAAATGAGAAGAGGAGGAAAAGACTTGCGCCGCAATTCCACCCGCGCATGCGATTTGTGTCTATTTCATTTTTTTTGCTACTTCTACAAACAGGTGCTGGCACGAAAAGATGCACATGTGGGAAACAAGATGCGTGACAGAAAAAACAATTTTTATGCAAGTTGAAATAACCAATTTATGGATCTTCGTGGCAGTGCCACCGCTGACTGCTGAACGGAGATGTTAATTACTTTGTACTTCATATAGACATGTATATCTATATGTATATGTTTTTTTTTTTCTCAAGGTGACAAACCTAAAATTGCGCGAGAGACAAAAATGGTAGGTGGTTGCACACGATACGATAGCAAAGTTCATAAAAACTTCCAAACCATGCTTGCACTCTCTAAACGACTAGTTATTCTCCTGAATGTTCTTCACGTCGGGAGTTCCAGGTGAAGCTGGGGAAGGCAAGAATGGCACTCGGTCATGCTGGGCCAGAGGGGGAAACAAAGACTGAGATGTTGCTTTTTTCTTAAAACCATCAAATTCGTAGACACCCGTCTTGGTGAGAATGTCCGGTTGAATGTCCTTTTTTGTGCAGGTAACTTTTCCAATTTCTGGTGGGCACGTGAACACAAGTGGTGGAACTCCGTTGTTGCCATTGGGGAGGAGCTGCTGATTCGATAAGGTTCCATCAGGATATTGCCATTTCAAACCGTCAGGTAAATTATGTATGTACGGTAAGTTCTCAATTTGGCTGAACAAATTGTCGTGCTTTCTAAAATTCGGATCGGAGCTAAAGGGGGAATTTGAACCGCTTGGTACGTTCCTCGGGATGCTCCTCGGCGTGTTGGTTGCGCTATTGCCAGATGGGTTGCCACTTATTGGCTTCAGCGTAGTTGGGGGCGTAATCAAATTTCCGAACATTTGTTCTGAGCTGTTCATAATGCTTTTGCCGAAACTGGCAAAACAATTTATTTGGGAAAGGATGGACCGTTGTGCTTGCAGCTGGTTAGGTTGGCTAGACGGCCCATACTGCTCAAACTGGCCGGTCTGATTAGGCTGCCTCGTTGGGTTGCTCAAAAATTGGGTGGGCTTCAGGGGCGGAAAGGATTCCGAAATTGGGAAGGGGATTTGCGTACCCAACTGAGGCATCTCCCCATTGGGCTTAAAAGGAACCTCTACAATTTTTTCCACATATCTAGGGACATAATAAGGGACTTCTACGGTTTTTATCTTAGGCACTTGTTTAATCACCGTCTGCGGCACTTCAATAATTTTTTCCTGAACCACTGGTTTTATCGTTTCCACGATTCTTTCAACATACTGCGTTACAACTTTGGGGACAATTTTTGGTGGATATAGACAGGGCACTTCTACAGGTACTTCCACATACTTAACTCCTTGTGGCACTTCGATTATTTTTTCTTCGATAACTGGTTTTAGGACTTCCTTGGGTACTTCCTTAATCACTTCTGAAACACTTGGTACTAATTTGTTCACTATGAGTTGTTTTTTTACCTTCTCAAATGTATGTTCATATTTTACATGTGGTATTTCTATTTCCCTCTGTTTCCTTTCCTTCTTCGATACGTATATTTCTCTTTCTTCTATAATAGGCTTTGCAACAAATTTTTCCGGGATGTTTTTTTTGAATTCTTTTGGAAGGGGGAGGGGGCCTAATGCCGTCATGACTCGACGAGGGTACGAACCTTCATGCCCCGTATGTTCGTCTATTCTCTTTCCCTGGTTATGATTATAATGCTCATTGGTCTGGTAAGATGTTAGCAACTCGCTCTCTTGGTTTTTCACCCCCATATTCATTTTCCCAGCAGGAACATTTCTGTAGTAGACTTTCCCTGGGCTATGCTGAAACTCTTGCGTTTCCTCATATATATGTTTATCCATTTTTTCGAGCATGTTGTTTGCCAAATCGTCGTAATTCATTTCTCCGGTAACTTCCTCCAAGTCATTGTTGGGCTTCAGCGTACTTTGCAGCGGCATCGTGAAGTGTTTCGTGGTGGACAGAGGGAGGTTCGCGCCTTGTTAGCCTTTTTAGCAGTGTTACCCTTTGTGACTGCTGTTGGGGACAGAAAAATATGACTCACGAAACGCAGAGGAAGGGGGAAAAAAAAAAGATAAATAACACTGCAAGGTGGTGAATTTTCGTTTATTACACACCCGTGCGTGTTAACAACATTCGGCTAGTTGTGCAAGCACACTACGGTAAGGGAATTTTTAATGCCCACTTAATGGGTAATAGGAATATCATGCAATAAAATGCGACAATGCAGATTTCTGTTCAATACTACAGAAGGACTTCTCAGAAAAAAAAAAAATTAAACCTTTTTTTTTCTTTTAATATTTATACATTTCGCACTAAGACAGGGTAAAGGGACAAATGTGCCAACTAAAAAAAACCACATGCAAATGCATGCACAGTGTAATAGGAATACTACAAACAGTTACAACGGTGAAAGCGAAACTGCAAAACTGTAGGACGTCGGCGCGGGGAAAGAATGTCATTAAAATGTTAACAAGAAAAACGAGCCAGTGGAAATAATTTGCAACAAAAGGGGTGAGGCAAAATAGGAAAAAAAAAAAAGAGAACACACATACGCGAATATAGACATGTGCCTACACGCGCAGGGCAACTTTTCAATTGTGAGCCTTGCAAACAGTGACGAAGGGGAATGCTCCTCTAGTCGAATATAATTTGTCTACTCATAGTAGACCGCTCAAAATAACGATCATGTGCTGGTGATTGCAAGCTGGATTTTTTTTTTTCTAGAACTAATGTACAAATGAAATTTTAAAAAAATCACAGATCGCAACAAAGTGGATACACCATAATGAGCGTGCACTGAAAATGGCAAAAAAAAAAAAAAAAAAAGATAGTTTATTCCTGTTTGGGCTTTTCACGCATTGTTTCTGTTCCCGTCATTTTTTGTTTCTGCTTTGTTTTTTCAACAGCACTTAAA